ACAAGGACACGCCCAGCTCGCATCCTTCCCTTAGCCGACCTCGCGCACGTTTGTGCTCGAGTCCTTAGGACCTTGACACTCTAAGGGATCGTGCCAAGTCCCGGGCCCCAATGTTAGACCCGTAACATTTAGCCTAATTATAGAATCCCAGTTATCTTTCTAAAATGCAAGTCTCCCTTTACGTCTGTTTCTAATTTGGAAATCGCACAATCAGGAGCAGGTAGCTACACACCTTTGGAGAGGTAACATTAAGGGGGTATTTGTAATCTGTACGACACTTGAAGTTTTTGGAAATGAGAATTAATTTTATGTTTTCTGTAGTTATCCCTTATTCACATAACCAAAATTCTTATATTCTGTTTAACCCAGAACAGGAAAATTAAACAAATGTAACTGTTATTCTCTTCCAAATAAGCTGAGGTTCAGTTAATCGCCAAAGCAACTTGTCACATCACTATATACATTGAAAATTTTTACAATGTTTGCATTGATGCTAGTCTAGCTGTTGGCTTCTTGTTGGTTTTCCTTTCGCAGAGCAAGAAAAGATAAAGGCTGCAAAATCAATAATGATCGTTGGGGGAGGGCCTACTGTTGTAGAATTAGCTGCTGAGATCATAGTTGATTTTCCTGACAAGAAGTTGACCCTGGTACACAGGGGATCAAGGCTACTCGAATTTGTCAGTGAAAATTCTGGAACAAAAGCCTTTTAGTGGTTGACTTCAAAGAAGGTCGAAGTCATCTTGGGCCAGTCAGTAAAGCTGAACTCCAGAGCGGAGGGTGCGTACGAGACGTCAGGTGGCGAGACGATTATTGCCGATTGTCATTTCCTTTGCACCGGCAACCCACTTAGTTCGTCTTGGCTAAAGGACACCATTTTGAAGGACAGTTTAGACATGCATGGGAGGCTGATGGTCGATGCAAATCTAAGGGTTAAGGGTCACACCAACATCTTTGTTATTGGTGATATTACTGTAAGTTTTATGACCTCAATAACAACTTAGATATCGCTATTACTGGAAATCAAACTATGCTACTTGGCAGTTGGTTCCTGTTTGTTTGAGTGCTCGATAAATAACAAATGCAAATAAATCAAACTACTCGAGCTCGATTTGTGTTTGACTCGATTAAAGCTGGTCTGATTCACCCTCAAACATAATTATTAAAGTTCGAATTTTTTTCAAACAAGCATCTTGAACAATTTTAAGTATGGTTCATCTCGACTCATTTAAAGCACTAGATGTCACATTGATATTGTTGAGTATATATTCATGAAAAATGAAAAACAGATTCTTAGTCTACATTGTCAAAAGAAAACAATACAAGCAATCATTGTGCTACTATATTTGGAGTGGTTATTGAGATGATTTTGTTGAAGTCTACATAATTTTCATTGAAATATGGCAGAAACTCAAACAAGGATACGTGGCTCAGGCTCACGCATCAGTTACTGCTAAGAACTTGAAGTTGTTAATGCAGGGAGAAAACAAGAGCAAGCTGTCTACTTATAAGCCGGGCCCACTACTGGCACTCGTTTCACTTGGCAGAAGAGAGGGAGTGGCGTAAATTATGTGCCTGACTATTTGTGGCCGCATTCCTGGAATCATAAAATCGAGGGACTTGTTTGTGGGGAAAACCCGCAAGCAACTTGGTCTAGAACCCCACTAAGCACAACTTGTACGGAAATATTCCAATTTCACTTGTGTTTTAATACCTAATTGTTATGTATAACATTGTAGCAGTGTAGGATACAATAGGAGCATCTCCAATGCCTCAACGTCAAAGTTAAAATTTCCTGCCACATGGCGGTAAACAGTTGGACTGCTGTTTCATATGAAAGCACTTTCCATTCCAACGCATACTTTCATTCTTGCATATCGCCATCTTGGGTTGGAGATCGCCGGATTCCATGGCGTCGTGGCATCGTCGTGCTTCGGTATTGCTGAGGGGGAGGATTACGGCCCCGACCTTCCTGTGTTGGTGGTCGGGGAGGAGGTTCACGGGCGATTTCCCCTTTGTCCCTTTATTCTCCTTGGGTTTGTGAAGAGGGGACGACCGTCGTGTCGAGTCGTCTCCTATGGTGTGGGTGGTGGTCGGACCGGTGGTGTTGTAGTGGGGGAATCGTTGGTTTGCTGCTATCTGAGGGGTTGGGTTGGTCGACTGGGCGCTGGTTGATGTCTTGGGTTTTGATTCCAGTCAAACGAGTGTCGCAGTTTCTAGTGTTGAATTTCGATCTTGGATCCGGTCCTTATGGGTGGTCGACTGTGAGTTGTTGTCGTCGGGTCTTGCTTGTAACGGTAGTCTGGCCGTGGGAAGGAGGTTTGTTCTTCGTTTGTGTTGATGTTTTGGTGTGTTTTGTGTTGGTGTTCTTGTGTTATTTTTTCGTGTTTCTCTTTTTTCTTTTTTCTTTTTTTGGTGTAACTCTACTTTTGGGATCTAGAATCTCCTGTTGGGAGATAGTAGTAGTAGTGTTAGTATTATTGTGGGTGCATTGTGGTGTCTAGGCGCCTTTCGGGGATGTTCTATCTCTGCATTCGACTTATGACAGATTTCTAAATTATGTCATACTTATGAAAGCATATCGTTCCGTTAAAAAAATGAATCATAGTTTTAATCAGTTTCGCTATGGAACCATCGGATGACTTGAATTATGGAGCCATCTAGACTTATTCACCAATAGTGTATTGACATGTGTTCAACAATAAGTACAATTTAGAGAACTGTCAATATATTAAGTGGTGGATGACTCCATAAGAAAATTATCCAATAGCTCCATAGTATTTTTGTGGTTTTAATATGTAATATATTGATAATTGAAAGATCGAGTATAACTAGTTATACA